AGGCCGACGACGGTCTAGGGTCGTCCGCACAAGTACGGCGGCGGATTGTAGAAGATAATACGTCTTTGTTCACAGCCAGAATTTTTTTTAATTCTTCAATTCTCTGTTCAATATCAATTGTTATGTTTAAAAATAAAGAACAGGCGCATATGCAAAAGCCAGATGTTGTTCCGGAAGTTACACTAGTAGTTCTTTCTGTTATTTCCTGGTTGTGTGTTGTTGTTTTTGTCATATCTTGGTTATAGGTTGTTGTTTCAGTCAAGATTGTTGTTTCTGGAATATCAAGGTTATAGGTCGTCTTCATGACAATGGTTGCTGCTGTTGAAACCTGTTGATGCTTAGTTGATGTTGACATGTCGCTTGATATTGATTCAGCTGTTGATATTTTGTCTGTTGTTGATCCAGATGTTGATATTTTGTCTGTTGTTGATCCAGCTGTTGATATTTTGTCTGTTGTTGATCCAGCTGTTGATATTTTGTCTGTTGTTGATTCAGCTGTTGATGTTTTGTCTGTTGTTGATACTATGTCCGTTGTTGTATCAGATGTCGGTATTTCTGAATAAAAGTACGGGGAAAGATTGGATATGATTTAAAATCATGTAAATCTTAGCTTAACAGTTAACATTTTGAATGAAAATGAACTTCACTATTTCTTAGTTTTAATTTAATAATTTTTTATCTTTTTATTTATCTTATTATTATGTTTGTTGGTTCGCTATCATGAATCAGAATAAGAGAGATGAGATATTTCCGGAATAGTAAGTTAAAATGCAGAAAGAACAGTCGTACACAAGCATCGCACAAGTTGGCACTCCGAGGCGGGTGGGGAGCAAGAAGGTGAACTGTGGTTTATTTTTATCAATAGTACCGCTTAAGTCGACGCTAGGGGCCGTTTTGGCCTTGTTGTAGGGTATGAATGATTCGTTCATTGTTGAAGACCATACATCAACTGTCAAGATGAAGAACAGGAATAAAAGCCCTGTTCATTGATAATTTTCTATGTATTGTGTGCGATTTTGTCCCATGTACATTTACTCCATGGCCTTTCATTTTCTACGATACTGTTGTCAGATCATTAAAGATGGCATATTTTGGTATTAATATTGATTCACTCATAGGGTCTTAGCATCGGAAATAAACACATTTATTCTATAACCAGTTGTTGGCATGATACGGGTTATGTTCTTCTCATATATTTTATGATGGTATGATACTAAACCCCTAACGGGAGGGATTGTGCTTGATTTTCATATGATGAAGACATAATCTTTCAATCAGTTTAATTGAGGTCTGGAGCTGGCATGTCAGTAACTGCTAATAGTCCTTTGTTAATTTATGTACCATTGTCATTTTGGTTAGTTATTTTTGTTACCTATTCTGACATCGGACTCGGACTTCTTTTAAACTGAGTTTTACTGTGCGTATTGCTGTGTGTTTGTTTTTTCTACATTGGCTAAAGGTATAGGGGGAGGGTTTATATCTCACAAAACATGTTTAACTCCGCCGCATTTTTGCACCTGTCCCAAGTCAGAAGCCTCTTCCTTTACATACGATATCGCTACTGGTTGCTTTTTATTCACCAAGGGTACCTAATATCCAAACAAAATTCGAAAATCTTAAACTGGGTCAATCGATGTAGGACTTAGGGATAGTTCGGAGAATCGAGAAGTTGCATTTTACGCATTGCTTCGGTTCTTGCATGATATACATGATACATTTGTAAATTTTAGTTTCCTATATGGCAAAAGTTATATTATGACATTTTCAGTTTCTGTACCAATCTACCCTTAAATGATTTGGGCTATTTTCTGTAGGCTTTATATGGAATTGATGCTTTACATGTTTTGTGTATTTGGCGTCAAGCTTTTGGTATCAAGAACATGAAGGCTATTCGAGAAACATGTGTCTTGTTTACTGAAATAGGTGTGATACATCTACTTAAGAAAACTGCAATCGGTGCACGATACCACAAGACCACATATTCATGCCAAACGTAGCTGGTACATGTTAGCTAAATGTGATGAATATGAACTTCCTGCAGCTTAAACTCTTAATTATCTAGGTATACTTACGCTTCGAAAATTCTCTCTCAAAGAGGTTTTGGTATAATTTGATAGCGATGGATAAGTAGAAATACCAGATACCCGTCGCTTCTTCTCTCTCTCTCTCTCTCTCTCTCTCTCTCTCTCTCTCTCTCTCTCAATATTCAACAGGTGCTGATACAGCCATTTTGAAAGGGGGTCCAACCCCCCGGAACACCACGAACTTTCAAAGAGTCGACAAAAAAATCAAGGAATAAAAGGAGGGTTCCAACCCCCGGAACACCCTTTGATCCGCCGATGTTCAACATGTGTAAATGTGCCAGATTGTATGTATTGAAGATATAAAAAACTATGTATATCCATTGAAACTTACTAACATCATTTGTAAATGCAATCAAATGTACAAATTTTGCAATTCATAGTCATAAAAGCACTTATAATCTTACCATTACAAACTGGTGAGCTGTTATCCCATGTTCCATCAATTAGACAAGTTCTCGTCAGATTCCCGGACACCAACACATGTCCTATGTCACATGTGTAATAACATGTATCACCATACATATCTCCCGTTTGACTTATCAACGTTGATCCGCTGTAAACGACTGGTGTTTGACATCGTATGACTGAAAAAGACACCAAATGTATGAGGGTCTTGATGGGATTTTCAGAATACAGAATGACGAGCAATGTGCAGAATAAAGAGACAAAATATATAAAATAGAGATTAATAGGGTGCTAAAATATAAAGAATAGAGAATAATGGGCAAACAAATGTAAAGAATAGAGAAAATGGCTAAAAAATAATACAAAAATGATGGACCCATATCCAGACCCTCATGTATGGGTCGAAAAATTAACTCTTATGTCGGGTCAAGTGTTCTTTAATATAATTACAATTTGCAATAAAACTCATCATAGAGACCAGGCTTAAAATTTTGTCTTTCGTCTACAAAAAAATCATCAGTGATACAAAAAAAGTTAAAAAGACTGGCCAAACAAGTACGAAGCTGAAGATTTAGATTTATATGGTAAAACTATAAAATTACCAGTTACATCAAAGAGGGGCGAAAGATACCAGAGGGACATTCAAACTCATAAATCGAAAATAAACTGACAACGCCAAGGCTAAAAAAGAAAAAGACTAATATCCAAACAAAATTCGAAAATCTTAAACTGGGACAATCAATGTAGGACTTAGGGATAGTTCGGAGAATCGAGAAGTTGCATTTTACGCATTACTTCGGTTCTTGCATGATATACATGATACATTTGTAAATTTTAGTTTCCCTATATGGCAAAGGTTCTATTGTGACATTTCAGTTTCTATACCAATCTAACCTTAAATGATTTGGGCTATTTTCTGTGGACTTTATATGGAATTGATGCTTTACATATTTTGTGTATTTGGCGTCAAGTTTTTGGTATCAAGAACATGAAGGCTATTTGAGAAACATGTGTCTTGTTCAGGGGCGGATCCAGGATTTTGGAAAGGGGGGCGAAGTATGTAAAGTTTGCCGAGCGGAGCGAGGCGAAAATTTGTTGGCCCTGTTTTGACTTAAAAACATAAAATAAGTGTAAAATTCATTTTTTTAACGGTTCCTGACATGGCATGTATATTTATAGTAAAAGTGTAAGGGTTCAACTTGGTCATTTTTGATGCCGTATTCTCCCCATTAATTGTCTATTATAAAATAATTGGATGGATCCAAAGCTATGTACTAATATATTTGATGTGGGACTTGTCAGTAAAAAATGGACATGGAAAATTCTCGTTTGTTGTATGTTTAGTTAGCATATCCTCACACAGATTTCTTGTTGTAAACAAGATATACGCCGGGCTGTTCAATGAAATTTACAATACGACCGATACGAGTTAAGAAAGACAAACACGCAATTTTTATCCAAATGTTGAAATGTTTCACCCAACAAGGGAAGTGAGGGGTTCCAAATCAACCAAAGGCTACGAATGAGTCTGAAATGCCACACCCAGCAGGCAGGTTGCAGTCGGGCCTTGAAAAAATTATTCAATATATCAGTTCGGCGAAACAGACATTCCGGTCAGATACGGGATTTACATGTAAACCCTCGGCCCCCAAAACATTAAGCCCGTTTTTATTCATCATGTTCATTTAATGCTAAATAATTCAGTTGGAAATTTTTGTTTCTAATAGCAAAAAAGTGGACAAGATTATTGTTTTCAATTCAGATACGGCCAGAATTTTTTGTTTTAGGCAAAAATCAGGGTCAGAATTTGTTCTCTCAAATATCCCAGACTGCTCCCTCAAATCAAATGGTCCGTACCATAGACTTTAAATCTATCTAGAGCTTACTGACTGGGGATCATTATTCAGCTATGTTATTAATAGGCTGGGGCGTGTGGGGTTAAACATGTTTTCGTAGGTAGATAATATTGCTGTGGAACTTTTTTTCATGAGAGTGTAATAGAGTATTACTTTCTGTTTGGTGGAATTGTGAAATAGAAGTCAATACGTTCTTGCTCAATCCTTTGTCGCTTTGAAGGTGTCAGGCTTGTCACCCTCAGCCTAAGCAATGTGTTACTGTAATTTGAATTTCAAAATGACTGAGTGACGTTTTTTCGACGCACTGGACAACTCCACCGTTGCGAATCACATGACTTTGACATAATCAATAATATATTACAGTAAATACGAGCGAAAAATATCTTTATAAGTAAAGAATTGTCGCATAAAAATTAAATACACGGGAAATGGTAAAGTTCACGGAGTCTAGTCTAATCAATCATTTTACAAAAAAAAAAAAAAAAAGTGCAAGCAAAAGGGGGGGTGGGCGTACGCCTTCTACGCCCCCCTCTGGATCCGCCACTGTTGTTTACTGAAATAGGTGTGATACATCTACTTAAATCCTTTTAAGGAAAACTGCAACCGGAGCACGATACCACAAGACCACATATTCATGCCAAACGTAGCTGGTACATGTAAGTTAAATGTGAATAATATGAACTTCCTGCAGCTTAAACTCTTAATTTTCTAGGTATACTTACGCTTCGCAAATTCTCTCTCAAAGAGGTTTTGGTATAATTTGATAGCGATGGATAAGTACAAATACCAGATACTCGTCGCTTCTTCTTCTTCTTCCTCTCTCTCTCTCTCTCTCAATATTCAACAGGTGCTGATACAGCCATTTTGAAAGGAGGTGCACCCCCCCGGAACACCACGAACTTTCAAAGAGTCGACAAAAAAATCAAGGAATTAAAGGAGGGTTCCAACCCCCGGAATACCCCTCGATCCGCAGATGTTCAACATGTGTAAATGTGCCAGATTGTATGTATTGAAGATGTAAAAAACTATGTATATCCATTGGAACTTTTAACATCATTTGTAAATGCAATCAAATGTACAAATTTTGCAATTCATAGTCATAAAAGCACTTATAATCTTACCATTACAAACTGGTGAGCTGTTATCCCATGTACCATCAATTAGACAAGTTCTCGTCAGATTCCCGGACACCAACACATGTCCTATGTCACATGTGTAATAACATGTGTCACCATACATATCTCCCGTTTGACTTATCAACGTTGATCCGCTGTTAACGACTGGTGTTTGACATCGTATGACTGAAAAAGACACCAAATGTATGAGGGTCTTGATGGAATTTTCAGAATACAGAATGACGAGCAATGTGCAGAATAAAGAGACAAAATATATAAAATAGAGATTAATAGGGTGCTAAAATATAAAGAATAGAGAATAATGGGCAAACAAATGTAAAGAATAGAGAAAATGGCTAAAAAATAATACAAAAATCATGGAACCATATCCAGACCCTCATTTATATAATAAAACTATAAAATTACCAGTTACATCAAAGAGGGGCTAAAGATACCAGAGGGACATTCAAACTCATAAATCGAAAATAAACTGACAACGCCATGGCTAAAAAAGAAAAAGACTAATATCCAAACAAAATTCGAAAATCTTAAACTGGGACAATCAATGTAGGACTTAGGGATAGTTCGGAGAATCTAGAAGTTGCATTTTACGCATTGCTTCGGTTCTTGCATGATATACATGATACATTTGTAAATTTTAGTTTCCTATATGGCAAAGGTTCTATTGTGACATTTTCAGTTTCTATACCAATCTAACCTTAAATGATTTGGGCTATATTCTGTAGGCTTTATATGGAATTGATGCTTTACATATTTTGTGTATTTGGCGTCAAGCTTTTGGTATCAAGAACATGAAGGCTATTCGAGAAACATGTGTCTTGTTCACTGAAATAGGTGTGATACATCTACTTAAATCCTTTTAAAGAAAACTGCAATCGGAGCACGATACCACAAGACCACATATTCATGCCAAACGTAGCTGGTACATGTTAGCTAAATGTGATGAATATGAACTTCCTGCAGCTTAAACTCTTAATTATCTAGGTATACTTACGCTTCGCAAATTCTCTCTCATGGAGGTTTTGGTATAATTTGATAGCGATGGATAAGTAGAAATACCAGATACTCGTCGCTTCTTCTCTCTCTCTCTCTCTCTCTCTCTCTCTCTCTCAATATTCAACAGGTGCTGATACAGCCATTTTGAAAGGGGGTCCACCCCCCGAGCACCACGAACCTTTAAAGTGTCGACAAAAAAATCAAGGAATAAAAGGAGGGTTCCAACCCCCGGAATACCCCTGGATCCGCAGATGTTCAACATGTGTAAATGTGCCAGATTGTATGTATTGAAGATGTAAAAAACTATGTATATCCATTGGAACTTTTTAACATCATTTGTAAATGCAATCAAATGTACAAATTTTGCAATTCATAGTCATAAAAGCACTTATAATCTTACCATTACAAACTGGTGAGCTGTTATCCCATGTACCATCAATTAGACAAGTTCTCGTCAGATTCCCGGACACCAACACATGTCCTATGTCACATGTGTAATAACATGTGTCACCATACATATCTCCCGTTTGACTTATCAACGTTGATCCGCTGTTAACGACTGGTGTTTGACATCGTATGACTGAAAAAGACACCAAATGTATGAGGGTCTTGATGGGATTTTCAGAATACAGAATGACGAGCAATGTGCAGAATAAAGAGACAAAATATATAAAATAAAGAGACAAAATATATAAAATAAAGATTAATAGGGTGCTAAAATATAAAGAATAGAGAATAATGGGCAAACAAATGTAAAGAATAGAGAAAATGGCTAAAAAATAATACAAAAATGATGGACCCATATCCAGACCCTCATTTATATGATAAAACTATAAAATTACCAGTTACATCAAAGAGGGGCGAAAGATACCAGAGCGACATTCAAACTCATAAATCGTAAATATTAGATAACGCCATGGCTAAAAAAGAAAAAGACTAATATCCAAACAAAATTCGAAAATCTTAAACTGGGACAATCAATGTAGGACTTAGGGATAGTTCGGTGAATCTAGAAGTTGCATTTTACGCATTGCTTCGGTTCTTGCATGATATACATGATACATTTGTAAATTTTAGTTTCCCTATATGGCAAAGGTTCTGTTGTGACATTTTCAGTTTCTATACCAATCTAACCTTAAATGATATGGGCCATTTTCTGTAAGCTTTATATGGAATTGATGCTTTACATATTTTGTGTATTTGGCGTCAAGCTTTTGGTATCAAGAACATGAAGGCTATTCGAGACACATGTGTCTTGTTCACTGAAATAGGTGTGATACATCTACTTAAATCCTTTTAAAGAAAACTGCAATCGGAGCACGATACCACAAGACCACAAGTCATATTAATGCCAAACGTAGCTGGTACATGTTAGCTAAATGTGATGAATATGAACTTCCTGCAGCTTAAACTCTTAATTATCTAGGTATAATAATTACGCTTCGCAAATTCACCCGTCGCTTCTTCTTCTTCTCTCTCTCTCTCTCTCTCTCTCTCTCTCTCTCTCTCAATATTCAACAGGTGCTGATACAGCCACTTTTAAAGGGGGTCCACCCCCCCCCGGAACACCACGAACTTTCAAAGAGTCGACAAAAAAATCAAGGATAAAAAAGGAGGGTTCCAACCCCCGGAATAACCCGTATATCTGCAGATGTTCAACATGTGTAAATGTGCTAGATTGTATGTATTGAAGATGTAAAAAACTATGTATATCCATTGGAACTTTTTAACATCATTTGTCAATGCAATCAAACGTACAAATTTTGCAAGTCATAGTCATAAAAGCACTTATAATCTTACCATTACAAACTGGTGAGCTGTTATCCCATGTACCATCAATTAGACAAGTTCTCGTCAGATTCCCGGACACCAAAACATGTCCTATGTCACACGTGTAATTACATGTGTCACCATACATATCTCCCGTTTGGCTTATCAACGTTGATCCGCTGTTAACGACTGGTGTTTTACATGGTATGACTGAAAAAGACACCAAATGTATGAGGATCTGGATGGGATTTTCAGAACAGAGAATGACGAGCAGTGTGCAAAATAAAGAGACAAAAATATAAAGAATAGAGAATAATAGGGTCCTAAAATATAAAAAAATAGAGAATAATCGGCAAACAAATGTAGAATAGAGAAAATGGCTAAAATATAATACAGAAATGATGGACCCCTATCCAGATCCTCATGTATGGGTTAAAAAAATTAACTTTAATGTCCGGTCAAGTGTTCTTTAATATAGTTACAATTTGCAATAAAACTCATCATAGATACCAGGCTTAAAGTTCTGTCTTTCGTCTACAAAAAAAATCATCAGTGACGCAAAAAGAGTTAAAAAGACCAAACAAGTACGAAGCTGAAGATTTACATTTATATGGTAAAACTATAAAATTACCAGTTACATCAAAGAGGGGCGAAAGATACCAGAGGGACATTCAAACTCATAAATCGAAAATAAACTGACAACGCCATGGCTAAAAAAGAAAAAGACAAACAGACAAACAATAGTACACAAAACACAACCTAGAAAACTAAAGACTAATTAAGCAACATGAACCCCAACAAAAATCGGGGGTGATCTCAGGTGATCCGGAAGGGTAAGCAGATTCTGCTCCACATGTGTCACCCGCCGTGTTGCTCATGTTATTACAAACCCGGTAAATAGTCTAATTCGGTAGGTCACATTCGTGAAATGGGGAACATATCAAGATTTTCGTTTTTTTTTTCCTTATGTATGTTGTCAAGGGAAGCACGTGCAGTCATGAATGTTGAACTTTATTGAGAATTTTTATTTTTTTTATTTTTCATTTTCATTATCTTTGATACCATCAACTTGTTGAAATTAATTTCCAGGTCGAAAAAAACGCTATTTTTGTTATACTATTTGTAATAAGAAATATTACTTCAATCATAAACGTATTGTCTGTAACTGTTGAGCAAATTGACATGAGCGGTGAAAAACAAAAAAAAAACAATTTCTACAATCAAACTTATTTCTGTAACCGTTGAGCAAATTGACATGACCGATGAAACACAAAAAAACTTTGTACAATCATAAAATTGTTTCTGTAACCGTTGAGAAAATTGACATGAACGGTGAAATACAAATCAAATCTGCAATCATATCAAACTTACTGTCTGTAACCGTTGAGAAAATTTCTGTAACCGTTGAGCAAATTGACATGAGCGATGATAAAAAAAAAAAAAAAATTCTACAATCATAAACTTACTTCTTGTAACCGTTAAGCAAATGAACTTATAAGCGGTGAAATACAAAAAAAAATGTACAATCATATTAAACTTACTGTCTGTAACCGTTGAGCAAATTGACATGAGCGGTGATTCACAAAAAAAATCTTTCCAAAGACCATAAGGCTGCAAAATGGTGATACAATTTATATTTATCAACTTAGGTTCCAAAGGACCCCAATTCGTCCAGGCTTGTGTCGCTCCTTTATGTGTTTCCACTCCACCTGTAGATGGGTTTTCTACATATCCTATATAGTAAGTCCCTATAGTTGTCAGGTTTCTGTATCATATGAATATATAACTGCTTTAACTTTATACAAATAATTAGTCGGCAATATAGCAAGCACAGTCGATATGTGAGCGAATTTTTTTTCTTCAGAAATTTGTTTTGTCCTGTTATTGCTTGGTTTTAGTTTCGATTTGATTCCGTTTTTTTCAGCTATATTAGGGAAGTCATTGTTCTCGCGTCATCTGAGCGCTTTTTTGATTTCTCCGATTTCTTAAAGTTTCCTTGATAATTCGAATCAATCTTTTCCTGTAACTTCAGAGGATGATATTATTTCAAGAAATAGGACGGAATAAAATCTTATTCTAGTAATTAACAAAAATGAAATTGTTTGTTTCTTATTTTAATAAAACGTGTATCGAATTTCTTGTTTAGGTGTGTACATTTCTGTTTTAAATTTTCATTTTAAAACAAAATACTTATAGTGCATGTTGAATATAAAAATAAGAAAATGTGGTATGATTGTCAATGAGACAACTCTCCACAAGAGACCAAATGACACAGAAATTAACAACTATAGGTCACCGTACGGCCTTCAACAATGAGCAAAACCCATGCCGCATAGTCAGCTATAAAAGGCCCCGAAATGACAAATGTAAAACAATTCAAACGATAAAACTAACCGCCGAATTTATATACAAAATAATGAACGAAAAACAAATATGATACATAGCAACAAACGACAACCACTGAATTATAGACTCCTGACTTGGGACAGACACATTCAGAATGTGGCGGGGTTAAACAAGTTTAAACAAGATAGCGCCAACCCACCCTTAACATGGGACAGTGGTGTAACAGTACAACAAAAGAACAAACTATAAAAATCAGTTGAAAGAGGCTTTACTCATCAGATGGATACCAATTGAAATGCATCTAACAACAACAGAGTGGACGTGGCAGGGTACTTATACATCCCAACAACAAAAACACACTACGTACAGATCTGAGAGTACTCGCAGTTACTGGCAGCTAGTTCAAAGCCAATAACAACTAATAAAAACAATTATGCATCTAAGACTAAAATATCAATTAGTACACATCCAATTGATTTAATGTAAATGTCCCCTTTGTATCTTCCATTTCTTTTTTATTTGGAAATTACAGAAACATTTGACTTTTACTTATAAAGTTTGTTTTCTCTTTTATTGTGTTAGTCTCACGGGGGTAGGTTTTTTTTATAGTATTTTCATTTCTGTATTTTAGAACTGTTTTTAATACAACATACCGAACTTTTATTAGCCAATTAACCACCCTCTGCGCTTCAAGGTTTGGAATAACGGAATATTCAAGTCCACATGCACCTATAGCATTTCCATAGACATTGTCAATCCAGTAGCAATATAATTTTAACCCGTCTGTGTATGAAACTCCATTTTCCCTACAATCTCCATAGTTGAATTTGATGACTAAAACAAATAAATCTTATTTTTATTTTATGGTATTCTTTCATTAGAATTACCTAACCGAACATGGGTTAAACGATTACGTATTTTATGGACATTTCAAATTTCTACAGCTGGAATAGCTGTATTTGTCAAAACCTTTCGAAATATTGAGTCCTCAATGCTCTTCGACATTCAATTTGTACTTTATCTGACCATTTTAACCTTTTTGATTCGAGCGTATCTGATTAGTCTTTTTTATACGAAACGCGCGTCTAGTGTAGAAAAAAATATTCTGGTATATATGATGAGTTTATTATCCTATACTTTTAAAGAATTTCTTGATAACTCTTTCCAAATATAATAGATATAGGAAGATGTGGTATGAGTGCCAATGAGACAACTCTTCATCCAAGTTACAATTTATAAAAGTAAACCATTATAGGTCAAGGTACGGCCTTCAACACTGGCTCACAACGAACAGCAAGCTATAAAGGGCACCAAAAAATTACTAGTGTAAAACCATTCAAACGGAAAAACCAACGGTTTAATCTTTATAAAAACGAGAAACGAGAAACACGTATGAACTACATAAACAGACGACAACTACTGTAATCAGATTCCTGACTTAGGACAGGTGCAAACATTTGCAGCGGGATTAAACGTTTTAATGGTATAATGCACATCAAAACTTTAAATGACACTGTTTTTTTTTCATTAGTTGCCAAACATAAACTTAATTTGGTCTTAATAAAACTCAATAAAGCAGGAAAGGGCCAATTTATAGACTTATACCTCGAATTTGACATAAGCGGTCATTTCAGTACCAGAATTTATAACAAACGAGACGGTTTTATTTTTGAAATTATAAATTTCCCCCACCCTAGCAGCAATATAACAACTTCACCTGCATATGGGATATACATTTCCCAACTCATTCAGTATTCAAGAGCTTGCAGCTGCTACTTAGACTTTATAAAACGTCACCAGTGTCTGAGCAGAAAGTTGATGAACCAGAATAATGTCAATGAACGTCTCGTCCTTTTCAAAAAAAAGTTTATCGGAAGATACCAAGACCTTGTTGATAAATATTCATTATCAACTTCAAAAATAATACATGATGGTTTTGAAGTATAGATTCTAGGTACTGACGTTGTTTATCATCTTAATTATGTGTTATAATGTTCTTTTCATTTGTCTTTGTATATTTTTAACCTTTACTATTTAGTTTTTTTTTTGGTAATATCCTTTTGGCGTGGTTTGGTATTAAAACATCCCGCAATTGTGTTATTGTGCTACGGTCATTTTTTGTGTTCTTGTCTTTCATTTTTGATTATGTGCTTGTCTATAGAGTGTCTACATGCCATTTGGTTTTCTTTGTTGACGTATTTGTTTGTTGTTATACTGATTAAGATAACAATGATGACTGCAGTACTCCAATTTTTGACGTTTTTACCTATTAATTCTGTTTGTTTTGCTCACACATTGATGTCAATATAATGGAATTTTACGGGACTATCATACAAGAGAGAGGTTTAGCTAGATACAAACCAGGTTTACAATGTAATCACCATCTCTACATAAGGAAAACCCTGTACCAAGTCAGGAATATGACAGTTGTTTTCCATTCGTTTGATGTGTTTGAGCTTTATATTTTGCCATTTGTTTAGGGACCTTCCGTTTTGAATATTCCTTGGAGGTCGGTATTTTTGTTATTTTACCTTTTATATGATACAATCTAATGTAACACACACTAAAATACACGTGGAGGATGTTAAAACAAATAGAAATACCTAAAGAGCAGAAGGCTTCCTGGTAGAGCGTACAAGGTATGTCATCCCAATGTCCATCGATGAAGCCAACACAGGTATTACTCGGGTCCATTGCAGAAGTAAACGCCGAATAAGTCTGTGGTTTACCATCTCCATCTAAAACTGTGTAATTTGTGGGCGTTGTGTAGTTTAATGTGTATCCTATATGATATATAGCCCCGCTTGAAGATCCCCTTAAATAAATAGATTCCTCATCGATTATGCTTGTATGTATGAGTTATTACCATGTAAAATTTCAATTAATTATTGACGTATTCTATTTGATTTGGGTTTTTTTTCATTTGTTTATCAATCCCAATATGTTCCATTGTTAAATTTGGATTGCAAAACGAATCAAGAGGCTGTTTAATCATTTTAAACCTATGAGAGTTTTGAGTTATATTTCCATGCGAGACTCAGATTGTTTCTAAATGGAAACAAATGGAAGAGTGGGATACTCTTCGTGTACTGCAAGTTTGTCAAATATGGACGCTCAGAAATTAACTATATAGAGTTTTTGTATTAAATATTCTGAGTAACAACTAATAAAAAAAATAATTTATCTAGTCTTTAATTGGCCTCGTTCCTGTGTTTTCCTTGGGATTTTTAACTCAAATTGACCTTTGAATATCGACGTTAATTTATCTTTTACCTGTTATCATAAAATTAATAGTTGTTTTGTAAAAAAATATTTTATTTATCACTAAAGTTGCCACGAGCTCTTTCTTTACCTTTGTAATGCTAACTGGTGTAATATATAATCTGCTCCACTATCAGGTACCCATGCGTAATCAAACATGCCACAGTGAGATGTGCTATGTTGCATTGGGGCAAAATCAATCCAGTAGCATATGACCATATTTCCATGTGTATAAGAAGCTCCCATTGCTTGGCAATCCTCGTAATCGAATGTTGGTACTAGAAAAAAAATATATAATAAAGGCAAACATGTGATAAGCTCTCAATGAGAGTACAAGAAGAGCACTAATAAACAGAAGCGTGAATGTAACGGTCTACATTGTATCAAGATCATATAGCTTTTCTAAATGTACAATTCATAGACAATTCACAATTTGCCGTTTCAAAATCTAATCCAATCTAGGTTATATTTTCAAAACGGGTATGTTATGATTGGTGTGATTTCACAATAATTGGAATTCGACCAGTGACGTAATAATACTTCGTACATTGAAACTATCCAAAATCCATTAGATTCTGCAACGACATATTAATATTGTGTATATTTTGATTAATTTGATTTGTTTAGGAAGAGTCACATGTTCAACTATATGTTCAAAGGTAGACCGATAACTGCAGACAGAAAAGTGATATTGTAATGTTATTTTTATTAAGACTGACACAATCATGACAACCAATCAATTGAATTGCTGCTCTACTTCTGGTTTGTTGACAATAATAATGTAACAATTGTAGCCTGTGTATGATGTCGATACGAGGATGTATCGACCTCGGACTTCGTCCTCAGTCGATATAATTCTTTCGGGTCGATATATGCTCGTATCGACCTCATACAAAGGCTATAATTTATAATATCATACTAAATTCGATGGTTTTAATATATAACTAAGGTAAATGAATATGTATTGATAAAATTCAGATTTATTCCCGTGCACTTCATGTTTTGTATGGTTTATTTTGTTCAGTACCATATAAGTGTTGATACATAAATGGATCTCAAGCAGACATCATCCAAATAAATTTGGATTTGCTATCGAATAGGTTTACATATAAAGGCATTAGATATATGTACAGCTTTTGTCAATCG